AAGGATTGCCCATCTTTCTCCTGTGGAGCAGCTTTTGAGTTGATAGTGCCTCTCTTTATCTGAAGCCAAGAGAGCTTCTGAAATAGTACTTTACTTATCCAGGATCCCTCTTCTTTCCATATCCAGTTACTTTTTTCATTTCTTTGATTTTTCATCTCTTTGGGATTGTATTGTATCTGTAGATTACTTTTGATAGTATTAAGATTTTTTTTCAATGTTAGATTTTCTTATCCTTGATATGGTAAATTATGTTGATCTTTTTGGGTCCCCCCCTTCTTTTTCTTATTGTGTTTTTAATGAAAATATATAGAAAATAAGTTTTTATTCATTTATTGATACACAATATTTTCTTCCCTCCTCTCCATCTAATTCACTTTGCAATGCATATCTTGCTCAAGATTGTTAATTATCATATATGTTATATCGAGTCATCCATTCCTTCATTTAGTCCAGTATTGTGTTCATTATGTATCCATTTCCCACCTGCTCTACTCTCATTTGGAGTTTCTTTTAGTTGTTGTTGTTGTTAGGCCCTGTCAAGTTGAGTACAACCCATAGAGACCTTATGAACAACAGATCTGGAACCCTTCCTATCCAGTGCCATGCTCACACTTCCTATCACACTAGAGCCCATTGCAGCAGTCACCATGTCAGTCCACCTGGTTGAGGGGCTTCCTCTCCTTTGCTAACCTTCCACCTTTATGAGTATCATGTCCCTTTCTAAGGACTAATCCCTCCTAACAACAAGCCCGAAGTATGTGAGGCAAAACCTCATCATTCTTACCTCCAAAGAGCACTCTGGCGGCAACTTCTCCAAGAAATATTTGTTTGTTTGTTTGGCAGTTCATGGAATGTTGGATGTTCCGTACTCTTCTCCAACACCACAGCCCAAAGGCTTCAATTCTTCTGTCATCCTTTTTTATTGTCCAGATCTCAGCTGCATAGCTAGTGATTGGAAAGACTATGGTCTGAATCAGAAGCACCTTAGTCCTCCAACTGAGATTACTACTCCTCAATAATTTGGAGAGATCCCTAACTGCAGACTTTCCCAGTACAATACATCTCCTGATTTCCTGACTGCTGGTACCAAGGACATTAATTGTGGATCCAAGTAAGATGAAGTTGTTGACAGTTTGAGTCTTTTCTCCATCTATCCTGATGTTGCCTATCAGTCCATTGGTAAGAATCTTTGTTTTCTTGACACTGACATGCAAACTATATTGAAGATGGAATTCTTAGATCTTCTGCACCAAGTGTTTCAGGTCCTCCTCACTTTCAGCAAGCAAGGTTGTGTCATCTGCATAACACAGGTAACTGATGAGTCTTCCTGTAGTGTATTGAAGGTTTCTTGGTCTTTCCCTAATGGTTCCATTTTTTGGGTAGTATTGTAAAAAGAATTACTTTCCTTCTACTTTTTCAGAGTTCTCTTTGTTACTGTAGAGGAATTCAACTAATTTTTATTTACTGTTCTTGTACATTTCCACTTTGACGAATTAATCGATTAGATTCAGTAATTTCTATACTGACTTTTTGGGATTTTTTATTTGCAGGGAAATGTAAACTGTAAATAGATGAGATCTTCCCCCCCCCCTTCTTTTCCAACTTGGGTGCTTTTTATTTCTTTTCTTGTCTTGTTTCTGGCAAGACTTCTAGTAACCCCTTAAACTCTCATAGCGCTCCTGGCAGTATATACCCTGAAGATGACAGTCACTTCTGAGTTTTGACAGTTGCAGGGTATAATAATCTATTCCTAAGACATCTTTCCCTTATAATCAAACAGGTACAAGACACAATAGCTTGTGCCTCAAGTATGTTGGTACGTGACCTTATTGCTAAATGTCTACAATGGACTTCTGGAAACAGACATGATTGAGGAAGTAATTTTAGTAAGATGCTGCCAGAAAAACTGATCCTTTTGCCATCCTGCAAACACCTTGTAATACACTAAATGACATACACTTTTTTTTTTTTAATCATGTTATCTACTTGTGCATTATGGACCTATTTCTGCTGAGGTCTTGCTTCTAGCTATTCTGCCTTTAACTGGCCTGCTACTTTTCCAGCCAATTATATATTTTGAAACTTTTATTTCTCGTTTCAACAGTACAAGAATGTACTCTTTCCTCAGGTCTGATGAAACAAGCAGCCATTTTCACCTTGGGACAAGGGACAGTAGATAGTTTGTCTCTCAATAAATTTCATTTACTTTTAGTTAAGCAGATTCTGAGATGTTGCTTCATGACAGTACGAAGATTTGTTTGACAGGTTCTCTAATCTGTGATCTTTATATGGGGGAGCCCCAGGTCTTTTTTTCTGGGGAGCCTTTCTTAGGTTCAAACTGCCAACCTTTCGGTCAGCAACTAAGTTCTTGACTGTTGTACCACTAGAGCATAGAGAATTGTTTCTTCATTCCTTTACCCCAAAAGGTGAACTTTTACGTTTTTTACCGAAAGATGAATTTTTTATTGGAGTATTTACCACTTGTGGCATTGCTACTGCACAGTTCCATTAACTGCATTTTATCTTTTTCTTTAAAGATGTTATGAAAAGGAGAGAGAAATAAGAAAACAAATCCAAGAAACTCACTCCTGAACTTGTATGACTTCTTTAAATTATTACTGTCTTCCACAGTCTGCCTAATTCTGTATACTTTTGAGAGTCTTTCATTAGTTGCCTTTTTACTTTGTATTTTTAAAGGAGATTTTAATTGTACCTGTTAGGAACTATAAGCTATAATGTGGTATTTTCTTGGCCAACAAGACATCTTGAACTCCCACTTTAGTTCATGTAATAATTTTGTTTCCAGAAATAACAAGAGAGTATAAATTATCAATTTGCTTTCGTTTTATTTTCTGTATTGTGTTTCAAGCTACTGGGGGAAAATATAGCAATGGTAACAGTTTGTTAAGAAAGAAAAAAATTAGAACGCCCACATCTCATATTTATTGTTTAATGTGTCACATTTTATTAAATAATTACTTTAATGGAAAGCAGTTGTTTTGACTATTAGTTTTTTAAAAATTATATTTGATGCTATAATAAATATAATCTTTATATTGGATTCCATAAAAATTTTTTTTTACTCAAAATCAATTTCTAGGAATGAGGACTCTGGATTTGAAGCTAGAGTGTATTAACAACCATAATTGCGCTTGTCACAATACTGCTAAAAAAAGAAATTTTTATGGTTTTACCAGTATATGAATATAGTAGTTTCTCTTTTGTTTTTTCAGTGTTAATAGAATCTATTTTAACGTTATGACTTTAATTAATTTAGATAAAATTAGTAAATATTCTTCAGTGTTGTTTCAGTTCAGAGTTCCATCTAGGGCAAATAGTTTTCTATATCAATTTTATTTGTTTCTTCTTTGTTATGATTCATTTGCAAAGTTGAATAGCTCTTTGTAGCTGAGTTATAATTTGACATATTTGATGCAAATAATTTCTCAATCTGCAATTGTATAAATTTTTCATTGAACTAATTTCAATTTTTTAACTGAACATAATAGAAATTTAAAGTTCTTTGTATGCCAATTTTGAACTTACCTATGTTTTCTAATTCATTGAAAATGAGAAGTTGATCATAGTTTCACAGATAAGTACTAATTTAGTTTAAACTCACTGCCATAAATTCAGAACAGACTCACAGCTGATCCTGCATTACATTTCTGTTTCCGAGGTTATGAATTTATAACACAGAACGTCATAAAATTATAGCACAGACATAGAGTGCCAATTTTTCTCTCTCAAAGCTACTAATGGAGTTTGAACTGTTGGAGAAGTGTGGCCTGTGAGAAGCATTCTGTCTCCTTTTCTCTTATTTTTTAGTACAGGTTTAGTTTAGAAAGCCTTAACCTTTTAATTTTCTTAGTTTATTTTGTTGTATAGTCTAGTTTATTGAATATTTTTAAAAATTGTTAGTTGTGTGGGGTAGCTCTGGTGGCCTAGTGGTAAGAAGTTGCACTGTAGTACCAAAGGCATGCGGTTTGAATCCACCAGCTGTTCTAAGGGAGAAGAATGAGCCATCTCCTCCCATGCAGTTTACTGCCTCTGAAAACCCGCTGGAGGGTCAGCTATGAGTTGATTCTGACTTGATGACAAATAACAACACACCATATAATAAAACATATAAGAAAAAGTATTAAATCTATCTTCAAAAGTTTTTTATATAAATTAGCTTATTTTATATTTAAAATAGCTCATACTTATTTTACATTCTGTTATATGTTGAAAGAAATGCAATTTTAATTTTTTCCAAATTGAAATTTATGCACAGGCATGTTTTGATTTGTATGCCACTCTTTAAAGTGATATTACTACTCCTGGAATCTGTCTGGAGTCAGAATTTTGTTCCTAAATCCTGGCTTTATCCATGATTAGTAATATGACCCTTAGAAAGTCACTAACCTCTGAAATCCTCTATTTCTGGTCTATTAAATATCTATATCTATGTCTATATCTACTTATCTATGGAGCTCTGGTGGCCTAGTGATAAGAAGCTGCACTGCAGTTCCAAAGACATGTAGTTCAAATCCACCAGCTACTCCAGTGGAGAAGGATGGGCAGTCTCCTCCTGTGTGATTAACTGCCTCTGAAAACCTGCTGGAGGGTCAGTTGTGGGTTGGTTCTGACTCAATGATATGAAATAATAATAATAATAGCAGCAATAGTGGCAGCAGCAGCATTATATATAGAGGACACTCTCATGGCAATGTAGACAGTTGCACTAACCTAACGTTGGTTTGAACGCAGCAGTGGCTCTGTGGGAGAAAGAGAGGTAATCTCCTCTCTTGCTGTTTATATCTTCGGAAACCCACTGAAGGGTCAACTATGAGTTGATTGCGACTTGATGGAAGTGAATTTTATACATAAATATGTACATACATGTATGACATTATTATGAATAATTGTTCATCTATCACCTAGTCATTATTGTGGAAAAATATAAGACAATTGTATCTGTATTCTGTTTCGAAATTGATTTTAATCCTACATTTAAGGTGTTTCTGTGGACGACTGATTGGAGACCATCATGGAATCGATTACCCCTGGACAGTTGCCACCAGTGATGAGAATAATGAGCAATGGTCTGTCGAAAAGCACACGACTAAGAGCCCCACAGACACCTTCGGCACCATTAATTTCCAAGATGGGGAGCACACCTACCATTCCAAGGTTTGCTAATAATCCAGTGGTTTTGCTGATTTTTAACAAAGGAGAGCCCCCAAATGTGTTAATGTTTCCAAATGTAACTAGGTTTGCAAAGATGATCAAAGTTAGAGACTGGCAAAAATAGCTTAATTTCTCTCTTTAGCTTGGTGGTGCCAACAGCTTGTTTGGCAAATTTATACCCTCTTTTAACAAGTTTATATCTTCTGTAGAAGAGAATGACTTTTCCTTGAGACAGTTGTAATGGACTTATAATAATGCTGTTTTTTCAAGAAATCAAAACAAGTTGAGGACTGTGGTTAAGGAGTTAAGGAGTCATGTGCTTAAGTATGACTACAGCAGTTACCAGTGTATTGTGGTCAACATACTTTCTATGTCTTTGGGAGAGATTATTTTTGGTAGGAAAAAATGGAAGGATTTCTTTGGAATCAAACCTGTGGATTGAGAGTACTCAGCCTTTCCAGTCCAACTTCTCTGCTACTCTCTTTTTTTTTTTTGTAGACTTTAATCTTCTGCAGCAAGGGCTTACAAGTTTCCTCATTTTCATCAAGTAAGGTTGTGTTGTCTGCATGACAGGTTGTTGATAAGTCTCTCTCTAATACTGATGACACATTCTTCTTCATAGATTCCAGCGTCCCAAATTGTTTGCTCAGCATACAAATTGAATGTTGTTGTTGTTAGGTGCCATCGAGTCAAGCATGACTCATGGTGAGCCTTCAAACAACAAATCTGAACCCCATCCCATCTTGTGCCACTCCTACAATCCCTGGCACACTGGAGCCCACTGCAGAGGTCACTGTGCCAATCCATCCAGCCGAAGGGCCTTCTCTTCCTCACTGACCATCCACCCTTCCAAGCATGATGTCCCTTTCCAAGGAACAACTTCTCCCAGCAGGTCACGGACTTTTAAATTACCTACTATGCATCTGGGAGCTGGACCGTGAATAAGGATGACAGAGGAAGAATTGATGTATTTGAGCTGTTGGAGAGGAGTACTGAGTATTCTGTGGACTTCTCAGAGAACAAAAAAAATGTGTCTTGGAGAGGGTACAGCCAGAATACTCTTTGGAGGCAAGGATGATAAAGCTTACTATATTTCTGCGACTCTTACTATAGTATTTTTAAGTACGATTTGTATGGTATTAAAATATTCTTTCTCTTGAGTGTGTTAACTATCTGCTGCTGTATTAGATAGAAATCTCACCTCAGGAAAGCTTGGAATCAGCTGAACCACAGAGTATGTTAGGTTATATGAATTTGATAAATTAGCTCCTAATAGTGCAGTCAGAACAGAGCGAGGAAACACTTTATAGTTCAAAATTGGGAAGGGTGTACACCAGGGATGTGTCCTATCTCCATACTTTTTCAACCTGTATGCAGAACAGATTATCTGAGAGTCTGGGCTGTATGAGGAGAAGTGTGGCATCAGAATTGGTGGAATAATCATCAACAATCTGTGTTATGGAGATGACACAATCCTGCTTGCTGAAGCTGAGGAGGACCTGAAGGCCAAGGACTGCAGCTTTCGATATGGATTGAGGCTCAATATCAGGAAGAAAAAGATTCTCACCACTGGGTTGATTGGCAGCATCAAGATGGATGGTAAAGTGATTAAAATTGTTAACAGCGTTAGTTTGCTTGACTTCACAGTCAACACTCTTGGCACCAGCAGCCAGGAAATTAAAGATGTATTCCGACGGGAAAGTCTTCTGTTAGGGACCTCTCCAAAGCACTGATGAGCAGTGGTGTCACTCTGGAGACTAAGGTGTGCCTGATACAGGCCATGGTCTTTGCAATCATCAGTGGTGTCACTCTAGAGACTAAGGTGTTCCTTATGCAGGCCATGGTCTTTGTAATCATTTGCTATGCATCAGCGAGCTGGATAATGACTAGGGAGGAGAGAATTGATGCCTTTGTGGAGAAGAGTATTGAATACACCATGGACTGCTAAGAAAACGAACAGGTTCATCCTGTTAAACCAGGCTGCTCCTTGGAGGCAAGGATTCTGAAGCTTCATCTGATATAATTTGGACATGTTGCAAGGAGGGAAAAGTCCTTGGAGAAGGACTTCATGCTTGGGAGGGTGGAGGGACAGCACAGGAGGGGAAGGCTTTCTATGAGGGGGATTGATTCAGTGATTGGGATAATCAGGATAGGTGTGTCGGAGACAGTGAGATTGACACAGGACAGAGCAGGGCTTAGGGCTGTTGAACATAGGGTTGCTATGAGTCGCAGGTGACTTGACAGCACATAACAACAACAACAACAACAACAACAACAACAACAATAGTGCAATACAACTAAAAAAAATCTACAACTCCAGTTATTACTCTTTTATTTAACTTTGCTGATGTTTTTCTCTAGTTTACATTGCTTGTTTCCTATCATTTTAGAGAGCCAACTTACAGAATCTTGGCTGCATTTTTTCCATCCAGTCTTGATCTTCGATCTTCTCTCTTTTGTTTTTGTGATTATTCATAACTATCTCTATTCACTCATTTGTTTCATTTGTTAACCAGATTTTTATTGCATGTTTCCACTTTACTGTCCCCTAAGGAATATAAAATACACCACATACTAATAATGATTAGCGTCTAGTGGGGGAAGCAAGTACACAATTAGTATAAAGGATTTTGATGTTAGAATACAAGGTGCTTTGAGGGCATAAAGAGGATAAAGTTTTTGAGGGAGTGAGCAGTAAAAGGTTTGGAGAAGAGAGTGTGAGTCTGGAGTTGGACCAGGAGAACTCAACTCAGTCACACCAGGCTTACATGTGAATCAGTAAGCTAGTTTATTCTCACCTGCGTGCAGGCAGGTTGAGCCCTCAAATTAGAAGTCAGCAGCTCTAGCTGTTAGTGGAGGGTTTATATACAGAGATTATTTGTGGGTTCAGCAGATCTCATGAGGAAGTCCTGGTGGGGCACTATTCTGTTGGTGCCTTTTTCTTATCTTTCAGGTGTAGTTGTTAGGTCATTTCATTTTCCATAGTATTCCTGGAGTGTCCTGGTTTTTGCCAATTCTGCTTTCCACTAACAGTTGAACAGGCTGAACTACAGGAAGGGCTTTATCTAAGAAGTAAAAATTCAAGTGACAATGAGGCCATTTTATTTGATCTGTCAGACAGGAGTATCAGAGAAATCATACAAAAGAAGGGATAGCAGAGTTGAAAGCTGAGAGATAAGTAAAGTATATAATGTCTAATGAGGCAGAGGGGGCAAGACCACTCTGGACATGAGGACTAGCTTGTGCAAAGGTCCTGGGTGACTATGATCCATGGAGGAGGACTGAGAGTGGCTTTAAAAAGACCCTTTGCTCATCAACATGCTTTTAGGTGTAGTCTTTGGCTACCTGTTACCAGTGTGCTTGAAGACATTCTGTTTAATCTTCTAGAACACAATACCCATGTTTTGGACATTAGATTTATTTCATATTTCAGACTTGTCAAAGATATATTCTTTCCCTTTGCAGCATTCACCTTCTAGCTTTTCACCTCACTTCTCCTAAAATATAAAGTGATCCATTAGGATTAAGCCTTAAGGAGTTTGTTTTAAAGAAGGGTTGTGATTGTTTTTAGGTGTCTTGGAGTTGAGTACAACTCATACTACCTTTATGAACAACAGATCTGAACCCTGCCCTATCCTATGCCATTCTTGCAGTCCCTGAAACACTCAAACCCATTGCTGCAGTTGCTGTGTCAATCACCTAGCCGGAATCTTCCTCTCCTTACTGTTCCTGCACCTTTCCAAGCATGATGTCCTTCTTCAAGGAATAACATCTCTTAGCAACATTCTAAAAACATGTGAGAGGAAGCTTTGCCATCCTTGCCTCAAAGGAATTCTCTGGCTGCACCTTCTCCAAGACATCTTTCATTTGTTCTTTTTGCAATTCATGGAATATTCAGTACTCTTCTCTGACACAACTCAAAGGCATCAAGTTTTCTTCTTTCATCTTTTTTTATCATCCAGCTCTCAACAGCATAGCAAGTGATTGAAAAGACCATATCCTGAATCATGTGCACCTTAGTCCTCAAACTAACACCATTGCTCCTCAATAATTTGGAAGGTCCAAATAGTCAGTGATAGCCTGACTGCTGGCAACAACTATAATGATTGTGAATCTGAGTAAGATGAAGTTATTGACAGTCTTACACTTTTCTCCATCTGTCATGTTGTTGCCTGTAGGTCCAGATTTTTTGTTTTCTTGATGTTGAGATGCAATCCATAATGAAAGCTACAAGTGTTTGATCTTTTTGCAGCAAGTGTTTCAAGCCCTCCTTACGTTCAGCAAATCAAGTTATATCATCCACATATCAAAGGTTCTTGATGAGTCTTCCCCAATCCTGATGCCACATCCTTCTTCATAAAGCCAGCTTTTCAGTTAATTTGCTTAGGATACAGATTGAATAGGTGTGGAGAAAGGATCCAACTTTGGTACAAACCTTTCTTAATTATAAATTATATAATGTTCTCTCCCTATGTTTGCCCAACAGGTTCTTGGTAGGGATAGGTTTCTCATGAGCACAATTAAGTATTCTGAATTCTCATTCTTGTCACTGTTAACTGTAACTTGTTATGATTCACACAGTTAAATGCCTTTGTATAGTCAATAAAGCACAAATAGACATTCTTGTGGTATTCTTCCTTTCAACCACAATCTAGCTGACATCAGCAGTGATGTCCCTGGTGCCATCACATCTTTTAAATCCAGCTTGAACTTCTGACAGTTCTCTGTCTATGTACTATTCTAGCCATTTTTACTTTTTAAAAAAATGTTTTTATTTGGTATTGGTTTGCTTACAAAGTTTGTATACATGGTGTTTCATACTATCCTTCATTGTTCCAGCTTTTAGAAAATGATCCTCAGTATTTGCTTGCATGTGATATTAATTATATTGTTTGATAATTTCCACATTCTGTTGGATCACCTTCACTAGGAATGGGAACAAATAGGAATCTTCCAGTCAGCCAGCCAAGCAACTCTCCTCTAAATTTCCTGGCATGGACTGG